AATGTGCTTCACATTAAAAATTTAGCATATGCTATGGGGTAGCTCTGGTCATTTTATGCCTCTCAATTTTCTAAACCCTGATGGAAAGTATGTTATTTTGCTAAAAATCAAAACCAAATTTTACAAGGAGACATATACCTCAGCTGAAGTGTGTGGTTTTCAGAGGCTTCTCTAGCTGCCCACGGAGCATTAGCATATTCCTGTGGTATGATACGTTTTATAATTTAAAAACTTTGTAATTTAAAAACAGAAATATATTTATCTACATAATTTCTTCTATATTTATCTACATAATCACAATTAAGAAAAAATAGCAACCAATGGAGGATAGGAAGAAAAGGGCTGTGTGTGTACAGCAGACTTCTCTCCTGACTTTCTTTGGGCTTCCTTGCCAATCAGTAAGCCCTCAAAAGCTCTTTCTCTCCATGTTTCCCATTCCTGATAGACAGCATATTAGATTCTTCTGAAACATATCATTCACACCAAAGAGAACCACACTGTACATGTGACAAGGAGAGGCTGCTTTTTGCCCAGCATACCCTGAAGAAAAATAAGTGCTTCTTGTTGTTTTTTAAAGTTGCCCTCATGTTGAGTTTGGTCCTCAGTGATTTATATAGACATGTCTCTAGTTTGGCAATGCATTCTGGGGTGTATTTTCAACTTCCTAGTCTAGACCATAGCAGTACATATCTTCTGGTGACCTCCCATTCAACTACTAACCAAGCTCAATTCTGTTATATAAAACTATTTATTTTTTTAAAATGATGGGTAATATTAAAATGTCATTGGATTAGGATACGTTTGTGTAGAAAGATTAGCAGAAGTGCACATTTCTCTCAGGCCTCTCCTGTACCACTGTTCTGCTGTGCATCGTACCGTCAGAGACGTGCCATTATGAAGAATGTGATGGTTGGACTTGTTGGAATGCATAACCAGGTTGGTAGTAGGGTTGTACTTCATTTTGTTTTTTGTCTTAAATCATACAATATAAAAAATTTACAGTATTAGCAAAGCAGAAAAGCTAGAACTGTTCCCCTGATGCTATCAGCAGCCACAGGACTGAAGTTTTTGCGCTTAAACTGTTTAAGAATGCAGTTCCTTATCTGCCACTTTTGATGATTACATTCAGTAAGAATGAGACTCTATGAACTGACTAGCAGGGGAATTGGCTGTGAGCAAAAGATACCTTCATCCTGATTGAGAAATTGATGGCTTATCGATCCTCTCTCCTTCGCCATTTTGCACGCTATAGCCATTTTTTATTTATTTTTCTTTTGTGGTCAGAATGGTTTCTTTCAGAAAACTAGCAGAATCTGAAATGCCTTTGTTTTGTTTCAGTTAACAATTGGGGAAACCTCACCTTACTCTATTATTTTTATTATAATTTATACAATTATAAAGTATGAGATCTCGGTTGACATGTAAGTCTTTTCAAGCTTTTTTAAACTTCCATTTTTTTTGTTGTCAGACAGTTATGTTGTGTGAAAGCACTAACAGAATCAGAGTTACAGTATCTACATGTATAGGCTGAGATCAAAAGACAGGTTAAACAGATTTATTAACTGACTAGCTACTGATGGTAATTATGCAACTCTATATTTTGATGTATTAACAAGCAACTTCTTACTGTTTTATGTAAGCACTTTCAATTGTTGGGACTGTGACAATATTACTGTATTTCCAGACTAAGGAGAGACAGGGTGCATGGGTTAGTGCATTCCTAGGTTAGTATATGCTTCTGGCGAAAGGAGCAAGTATATCTCTCAATGACACTCTAAAATAGCATCTCTACTCTCTTTAGATTGTTAGTTGTCATATCAGTTTATATTGGATTTTCTTATTTTTGGCATGGCTATTTCAGTTCATGTTATGAAACTCCAGCTGCATGCTCTTGATTTCCACAAACTAATTGTGAAAGCAGTTCCTAGAAAAGCAGTTCACTTCAATAGCCAGGAGAGTTGCAGCCACAATATCTAACACTGAGGAAGCATCACCACATCATCTCAGATACTTCTTACTTTCTTGAAAGGTAATCCTTATTGCCTGGAAGAACTTTTTCCAAAACTCCAAAGAACAAGCCTCTGGGTGGGGCACAAGTGACTGGAATGAAGCATCAGTACCAGACACGAAGAATGCTTTCCCCAAGAATGGCCCACCCCCGTCTCCTGCCAGATGTGTTCCCATGCCCATCACACTGTCATGTCACTGCTTGCCTTTACTTCCTTCGTATCATCCATCGCTCTATCTCTCATCCTTCCTCCCTAGGTCAAAGGAGCCACCATACACTCGATTGCATGCTCCTTCAAAAAACTGATTGATCTGGGATGCTTCTGCAAAGCACTCAGCAACCAAAACCTAGCCAGACAGTCTATCTACTCCCTTCCATCCGTCCATACACAACACCATCTCATGGCTCTCCCAGGTACCTGGTGAAAATTTGAAAAAATAAAAAATAAAAACCTTTCTTATACCCTTACCAACAGAATGAACCAGAAATGCTTCTACTCTCCCCTCATTCTTTTTCCTAAAAAGGGACAGGAAACTCCAATTCCCATCTCCCCAAATCTCTATCATCAGTTTAGTTTGCTCCTTAGTCTTTTAGATGTAATGATACCAGAGAAACGGGGCTGCCATAGGCTGGACACTCCAGATCCTCTAACTTTCATGTCCAGAGTGCAGAGTGAAGGAGATGGCCAAAATGACCACTATCCCACAGAGTTCACATGACAGCCAGAGGATGCAGGCTGGTTGTCTTGGTATGTCATTGATCTATTTCCAAACTGATACCTGTCCGGACTCTTCAGCACACCAAGATCAGTTATTTCCAGATTACTGTCACCATTGCTGCTTATGTCAGATTAGCCCTTGATGCTATCACTCTTGTTGTTGCTTGCCATCACCAAGTTGGAGGGTACAATCAATTCTGCAGTCATGGAGAGTCATCTCTTCAGCTATATGTAAATGGAGAATGGTCTTTCCCAACTGTTTCTTCTGGATGAAAGACCCCCTTTGGACACTTGAGTCAATTGGAATAATCCCAGTACAATACCTTACATGCTGGTTGTGCACTTAAAGCTGCAGCTTTCCCATCTGCAATGGGATACTGTATATATGCCTTCTTCTATAGCTCCTTCCAATGTGATTGTAGAACTTTTTAACTGTTAACATTTGCCTTGATGCTAATTTAGCAACCCAAGGAGATACCTTATTTGTATGAGACAATTGTCATACAACCCTGTCTTTAGTTTCTGTGCTCAGTTTTACTATTCCATAGTGCACAAGAGAAAAAGAGCAGCTTCAAAGAGGCTCCAATGTCCTCGTATTTGTGTAGATATTGCTCAAAATGGATTTTCTTTCTTTCTTCCTCTCCCACTCACCTTAGTAACATGTTGCTATGGCCACAGTCATTCAGAGAAATCTTTAAGTGCAGATGCCACTGTAAGTGCCTTATTGTACCCAATGAGGACTTTTCTATCCAGATTTATGCTTTATCATCTAAGCAATGGTATGCTGTCTGCATTTTCTACAAAATGATTGTGGATCATCTGCTGTGGCATATTATTATATTATATTTTTGTGGATAGGAGGGAAAGATATTTGTCAATCAGTGGAAGGTTAAGTAAGAAACTGTGGTACTTAGCTATATGCCAGCTAGAAGGCTTGAAGGGAGAGATTAGTTGACTTTCTATGCTATTAAACTTGCAAAAATACAAATATACTGATTTTAATTCTTGAATATCAAAATCAGTCTGAAAAAAAGTAAAGACACCTTGAAAGAATTTAGACTTGATTTAAATATATATTACAATGGATTGTGAAATATAAAGGTTTAAAGGGAAAGGGTAAAAGCAGCAGAGAGACGTGTTAAGGGTCCAATACAAGAAAAGGTCTGAGGTAAGAGACCAAATGATGTTTGTATTTGTAAATCAATAAAATCAAATAATTAGAATCTGGAGAATCAGAAAGTGTGAAAACTCTGAAAAAGCTAAAAGTCTGACCCAAGAGCTTTTGAGGCATGATGCTGATCTCAAAGCATCACATCAGTGTTTAATGCTCTTTAACCAACTATGCTTTCTATTCCCAGCAGAACTTGAGGAAGATAACCCTATCAGGAAGAAGGCAATGCAACCCTCAAATTGAACCAGTTGGGGTATTGGGAGGTTTGCTGCAGCTTCTGCTATTCTTCTACAGGTAACAGAACTCTCCTGGTAGTAGATACTTCCTTTGGTTTCTTAATCCTTCTATGCAGATGTCAAGGATTCTCTCATGAAAGCATCCCAAACAGGCGGATAGAAGGTATTATCATAGCAATATGAAGCTGCATGATATTTTTCTGAGAGGCCGAATAAAACAGCATCATAATATGGAATTATTTTTGATGAACGAGGCACACTTGATCATTCAATATAAATAATTGTGAAATCTTAGTGTATACACATTCTGACATTTTTACCATTTATGGAATGTCCAGATATTTGGAACTCCAATCTGTAGCCGTCATTTAAAAGCAATTCAAAAATAAACAAAATAAAATACATATAAAATACATATAAAATTTCACAAGAAATAAAGCACAATTTGCATCTTAGGCAAATTATACCAATGTATTTCACAGAGTTATCCCTCTATCAGCATAAAGTCAGATTATAAAACAAAAATATTTAAGTGGTTAACTTCAGCCTCTAGAAGTTTATAAGTGAGGTTTAAAGGAAGTTTCCATTCTGCAGATTTTCTTTTAACTTTATCAGAAGTAATTGCCTTTTTTCTAATAAAGGATACTAACTCCTTCTACATTCAAATCTACTGCTAGGGAAAAAGCTAAACAAATGCAACAAGAAGCATGAATAATTAGATGCCAATTACAATCAGAACAGAATTAGAAGTGTACAGTAATTAATGAAGAATGCCTTTGGAAGCTACAAGTCAATACTGCATATTCTTCTCAACCCTTTCTACCCTAATCCTGTTTCTAAATGTACTAATTAGAACGAAAGCCTTACCTGCCCCCCTTTAGGCTGATACTTGATGTTGTCTGTTGACCCAACTTTGGACCTGACATTCTTGAGATCTGGTAGAGGTTGATTAATCAGACGAAGTTGCTTAGGGGTTCCTGGAGATTTCGGAGGTGTGCGTATGATAGCAATTTTTTTCTCAGTGGGTACCAGAATTGCAGATGTGGGTGTACCCGGTGTATGTGGGGTCCTGGAATAGCTAGGGGTACCAGGTGTTCCTGGGGTACGAGAAGAATAACTTGGTGGGGTTCCAGGAGTGATGGCAGTTGATCCTGGAGTAGTTGGAGTTGATGTACCACTTTTTCCTGTTCGGCTTCGAATAGGCTCTGATCCTGTATTGATAACAGAATTCTGTTATGATATTCATACCATTTCCTAGAGAGAACTGGCATCTAATTGTTCATAAAAGAACCTGATCACAAAAATATTCAGTCTTTGCTAAAACTTTCTGAAGATCAGTGTGACACTTAAAATTGAACAAGATTTCACTAAATGACAAGATTATCATGGAGTGCAAACCAGTTAGGATTTAAAGCAAATTAAAAATCATTAATATTGGATATTTGTAATTATATCTTTCATAGCTTAATGTCCCCAAGGAGAAATCAATAAAAAAGAGAGTTAGAGTTGATTTGAAGCTTAATGCAGACTTCGATCTCCAATATCTCCATTGGCTCCTTGCTTCATCCCTCCCTATGATTATCAGTTCTGGATTGCAAATACCTGGCAGTCATTTAATGACAGGAAAAAGATACAGAAAACTCACTCATGATTAGCCGACATTTGGATTTTTGCAGCTCAGATTCAATAGTCCTGCCTATACCTCTAAATTAAGATTATGCTTAAAATTTAGAATCTCTTCATAAATTGGGAAATTTCTTCTCTAAATGAAAACGCTAAATATTACAAAATGCAAAGCATTCTTTTTCATATATTTTAAAATTCTGCTATCAAATATTTCAAGGAACTGGTATAAACCGTACAAATAGAAACTTAGGATATGTCCAGGGAGTACCTTTTTTCTGCTAAACTTTTCTCTTTTCCTAAACACAGAATTTTCTTAGCTTTTTTAAAAGTATCCAGTTACAAAAAATCCATATTTTATAGTATATCTAGAATTTTTTATCTGATCTTCTTATCTGGTAATACTGTATATAACACATTCCTTTTACAATAGAAACACAGCTGAGCAGAAACTGGTTGCTGTCTAATTTAGATATCATCTCTGGTCTAAAACCTATTTCCTCAACATGGCAATGTGGCCACCAATGCATCCATAAACATTTCTTTTGAAACCAGACAGACTCCATGTTTCATCTCATCTCATCTCATCTCGTTCTTTTAGTTTAAAAAAAATTAAATGGAGATTAACATATTGTAAAAGAAATGTCATTTTAATGCATTTTTTTTTATTTCCAGAAACATTACTGGGTCTTACATAAACTCTAAGTGTCTAAACCAAAAGAACAGATTGAATTTTATAAGGTTACAGGGAATAATGGTCCCAAACTGTACTAGTTTGCCTTCTGATAAATGGGAATTTTTGAGACTGCCTGGGGTCATCATAGCATAATTATTGTAAGGTTATTCATAACATGCTTTCAAAATTTCAAAAATGTTGACTAACTCAAAATAGATTAGAGAACCCTGAGCTTGTGCCTCCAAGTTTAAGTCTGGGCAAGAGACATACTTGTAGTTCGTCGTACAGATGAGATGGTGCTGTTCAGGGAGAAAGAATTTTCATCTCGTTCTCTGTCTGCTGAGATACCTCTTCGGGCAGGTAAAATGGAAGAAGGTCTTGGTAAAGAGGAGCGCTTTTCAGGACTCTTGGTTATTCCATCCTAATGCAAAAAACAGGAAGCATCTTGGTTTGAAACATGTATTGGTATTCAGCTCCAGCCTAATTTTGTTCACATTCGAGCCATAAGGGAATGTAACACTATAGCAGTATAGTACAATAGTACAGAAGCTGTTGAGGAAAAAGGGTAAACTCCAAGATTGAGGGCAGAAAGTTGACTTAATTTGGCTCTGACTGCATCAGTATAGCCTTATTTTATTTGCATTTAAAAAGAAAGTATGCCTCTCTGCTGTGAACATATGTTCATAGACTCACACACAGACGTACACACTGAAGCTAAATGGAACAACCCCTCACTCAGTACTTGGAAACAGGGGAAGAGTGACTTCTCGATATACAAAAATGGCTTGGAAAAGCCAGAGTTTTTAGGCAAGGGCTCTTCTATTGCAGCAAATGGCCTAAACCAGCGGTTCTCAACCTATGGGTCGCGACCCCATTTGGGGTCGATTGACCATTTCACGGGGGTCGCCAAGCAAGGCTGTCCGCCATTTTTTTCCCCTTTTCCGGTGGGTGCCTTACCTCCCTTGAGCTGGGCCAGCTGGTGGTCGGCCTGCTCCGTCTCTGCCGCTTGCCAGCTACGCCTCGGCCGGCGCAGGGGGCGGAACCACGCATGCACGGCGCTCCCGGGCAGGGAAAGTCCTCGACTTACGACCAGTTGGGTAGTCCTCGACTTACGACCGGTTTAGTCCTCGACTTACGACCGGTTTAGTCCTCGACTTACGACCGGTTTAGTCCTCGACTTACGACCGGTTGGGGTCGCGGCATTAAAAAGGTTGAGAACCACTGGCCTAAACCTACTACAAATAGTCCTTGACTTATGATCATAATTGAGTCCAGAATGTTGATCGTAAGTCATTGTGGTTGTTAAGGAAGACACTCATGTGGCTGTCTTGCTCAGCAACCACAATCCCAGCTATTCCCATTGTGGTCGTTAAGCAACTACCCGGGCCATTAAATGAGCCAGCATGCGGAAATCTGCTGCAGGTCAGAAGGCTTCAGCTGGCTAGGCTCAGCATCATGCAGGCCTCCTGCCTCCTCCTGCATTCCCAGAAGCCTTAACCAGCTAGGTTCAGTGATGTGCAGGCCTCCTGCCTTCCCCCCTCCCCCCCCCCACTCCTGAGTCTTCTGGTGAGCATCAGGTTTCTGCATCCCAGTGGGCCTAGGCAGCTGAGGTCTTCCAGCCCATGTCGTGGAGGGGGCAGTTGCAGTGTTCCCAAGGGTAGGCAAGCTGCCAAGCACCTGAATTTTGATCACGTGACCATGAGGGTGCTACATTGGTTTTAAGTTCAGGCAGGGACTGTATGTCTCTTCACTCAGCGCTATCATAATTTTGAATGGTTTGCTGAATGAATGCTCATAAGATGACAATTACTGGTATATGCATCTTATGAAAAGTGTAGATATTGAATAGAATCAAACAATATATTAAGCTTTTTGAACAATCAAATTTATTTTTCTGATTTGTAAATTAAGTTCTAAAACTGGCAATTATCAAGGCAACAAATCCCACATTCTGGCATCCTATGCAATCACAACTCAGCTCCATCTCAGTGATGTGCCTTCCTCACAGGGTTCTACCCCTAGCACTTCTTTGCGTTCTGAAGTTTGCTTTGCCAGCCTGCCAGAATTTGTAAATCAGCCTTTGCATTTCTTCCTGTTCCTTCTCTCATACTGTTTTTCAAAAACAGTTATGGGAAGAGTATTATCACCACTGAATTTTCTCATCACTTGTGATCTGTGATGAGGAATGACTAAATTAATTGTCTTTTATAGACCTTATAGGTGAACCAGGAGAAGTGACACATTGGAACTGTTGATATCATAAACTGATTTGATTACATTTCTAACTTACATACTACAGTTCTTTTTCGTTTGGGAAAAAGGATATCAAGATAAGATATCCATATTCGGTAGTGAAGGAAAAAATTAAAGATGTGGGAATTTGTCTTTATTCTTGTTCTACCTCAACTGCCTTACCTGAGCTGTTTTTGAATAGTCCCTTGGGCCCGCTGAAGAGGGCCACGCAATATAATTGTCTTTACTGCGCAAAACAACTTTTTTAGTGGTGATTAGTGAACAAGCAGAGTTGGGTCTTGGAGGAAGCAATGATTTTGCTCTAACTTTTGAGGCAGGAATCTTTGACAAAGAAGAAGTCTAATTATAGGAAAACAAAAAGAAGAATGTAATGGAAAGATGAACAATGAGACAAACAGAAAATGTATGAAATATAGAAAACAGAATTCAAATCAGAACCTTAAAAATAATTATTGTATTGTACTATTGTTCTTACGTCAAAGCAAGCATACCTTAAAGTAAAGTGATTTCATTGTTCAAAGCATAAGATGAATGCTATTTTTCAGAAGTTGACTGTGGCTTTTTCTGAAGCTACTTACACTGTCACTGGCCCATGCTACCATTCTATTTTTCTACTTTTAGTGTTATCATCTTTCCAGGTTTTAAGACTGGAATTTCAGTTATAGTATTCACCAAAAAATATTGATATCCAAGTTAGGATTCCTTCAGTTACCAGGCTGAGACTACACTTGCACTGACTTCACTCTAGGTAAATAGATCTCATAAAAATAAGTCAATAAGCACTTTAAGTTCGTGTTTAGGATCTTAGTGGACAATATTACTTTGAAACTGCTATTAAAACATTATGCATTATGCATTATTAACTGCAGCAGTCACAGACAAACTGCTATATCTTGTTAACGCTGGAGAGAATATAGTCCTTGCCTTATGGTCAACTAATTTTGGCAAAGCCAATTATGGAAGCCTTATGATACCACTAACATTTTTGCTGATTCTTTTCCTATTGCAAAACAAAATAGAAAAGGCACTGTTTGTCTTTTTTAAAATAAAAATTGTATTATTAATTTCCTTTCAGAAACCTTTTACCTGTAGTCACACTCAGATGCATTCCATATGCTAATTCTTCATTTCAGTTTTAAATATACAAATCAAAATAAACCTAGCTCATATATGTGGCCGTTGTAAATCCATACAGATATAAGGGCTAGATTAGAATTACATTTAAGGAGAAAATAACTTGGGCACCCAAAACATACAACATGAATACATTGCAGAAGAATAGCCATGTTAGTTTATAAAGCCAAAAAATAGAGTAAGTACTGAAAAGCAGAACACAGGGATGGGATTTGATGGGCACCATTAGTATTATGATGTAGGAGGATGTAAGTGAGCATACAAGGTTTGAGAGGTAAAAAAACCTGTTTATGAATCTAATGTTTAATCCTGTACATATTTTTTCTCAGAAAAATTCTATGAAGTTCATTGAACTCCAGTCTCCCAGCCACAGACCAAGAAGTGTAACCATCAGGTGACAGCTTTATTTTAGAGACAGCTATTTATTTATTAAATGTATATGGCCACCCATCTTACACAAAGTGACTCTGTGCAGTATACAGTTATTAAAATAAAACAATAAATAGATCAAAACAATTATTAAAACAGTCATCATTAAAGATACAATCTCCTTTAAAAGAGAGAGTAGATTAAGTACAATGCTACTTTATCTACCGCTACTCTCTGCCCTCCTAAGATATGTGTGCTCAGAGCAGACAAGGTAATCAAGGGGCAAGCTTGCTACTTGAAATTATCACTTCAAGTAGTGATACGAATTGGACAGAAGTGTAAGATATTTTTTTAATTTACATATGCAAATTACTGTTCTTTCACTATCAAATTCTGGAAAGCTGTGGCCTCTGGATAAAAGGAAAAAGATACTTTTAGTGGGTGAGCAAAGGTATTAAATACAAACAGGCAAATGTACATGTGCATGTTAGATAAAAGGAAACAGGACAGCCATGTGTTTATTCATATATCTGCATGTCCCATGCAAATGAATGTGAGGTATCTAATTTTTATAACATCCGGGGTATGGGAGAGGCCATCTCTCTCTTTCTATCTTTCTTTACAGTTTTCTTCTCTATCTGGCTCATTCTGAAGCAGCACTAGAGAAATGGTAATTACGCCCAGTCCCCAAAGCTATGGCTATTGCAATGCCTTTGCGGCCATGGGATCAGAATTTGGGCAGCCAACTCACACAACTGCAGGGGTGCTTCAATTCCCTTCACCTATTCCCCCCCCCCCATCATCTGTGCCCCTTTGGCTACCTTATTCTCCACTGGCTTTACCACTCCCAGATGCTCTTTGCCCTCTTCTTCCTCCCACTGCTAAGGAAGTGTGCCCAGCCTGGCCCTTCACAAGGCATCATATGCAGCGTTGTCCAAATCATGTGCGGCCTTCTCATGAGGCTCTGAGGGCCGCATGCAATTTGGACAATGCCATGCTCTGGAGAATGGTGCAAGTGGTCTGAGATAGAAGGTCTGGTGATTTGGATTGATAGGCTCCCTTTCCTTGGTTATGTTCTGTTGTATCCTATGATTTGATTTGAATGTCTGCACTAAGCTGGACTCAATGGCTTCATCCAGTTATGATTTGAGCTGCAAAACTTATAAACAGGTACATTTAGATCAGAGGAGATCTTCCCTATAGACTGAAACAGAATATATGTCTGGAGAAATAAATATAAAGAATTGGGAAACATTTCAACTCTGGCCACATCCTTTTTCATCCTCCATTTCTTGTTAAAACAAATATGGTTTAAGAGAGAGACATTCTCCTCCCTCCCATCTTTCTCTTCCCAGGAAAGGGGGGGGAGAAGCTAAAAGAAAAGATGGCACTTCATAGACCCTCTAGTTGCAAGTCACCAGTCAACTGAATTTGTGGTCTTGAACAAAGGAGAATCATGGAAAGCAAGGTATTATGAATGGTACCTACCACATCTGATAAAGTGCCTTGTACCTTTGGCAGTCAAACATATTTGTGCATTCCCACTAACATAAATGACTCCTTCCTTTGTTATGGTTAACAATGGGTGATAAAGATATAGTTCTGTTCTGCTGCTGGTGGTTCATTGCGCTGGTTTTCTATTTTATGCTAATGAAATCAGTTTCTCTTTGCATCTTGAGGCTATGACAGCACTAGTTTTATTGTATTTCCATCTAGATTTTGCTTAATGTCTTGAGAGTCCATGAAGCCAAATTTTCAGTTGCCTTGTAACTCAGGGGCCCTGCATCAGTGTGTGCTGGTGTCAATTTGCTTATCTAGCTGAATTAGCATTCAGTCCCAGCTTCAGTGATTGGCTGAACTTTGAATTTGCCCCCCCCTTTTTTTTTTCCCAGGCAGAGCAGCAGCCACTGGATTTTAAACATATAGAAAGCAGATCAGATTTAGTTTCTAGTATTTCCTCTTACAAAAATGAATCAGACTAGTAGATTGAAAGTAATGCCATGAAGTTCTCAGAATTGCATCTGATGGACTCACTAGAACAGTGGTGGCGAACCTATGGCACGGGTGCCAGAGGTGGCACTCAGAGCCCTCTCTGTGGGCACGCATGCCGTTGCTCCAGTCCTAGGCCTTCAGCTGAGTTTTATAAAACCTTTTTGCTTTAGGCTTCCACCGCCGTGTGCAAAAAAAAAAAAAGGTTCAATCAGTCAATTTCAACTTCTCGTGAGGAAAAAAGATCTTGCAAAGTTGGAATTGATTGATTCAACTTTTTAGTCCCACCCAGTCTGCCGTTACCACCGCAGCCATGCCCACCCAATGGGCCATGCCCACCCAATGGGCCCCGCCCCCAATTGGCCACACCCAGCCAATGGGCCACACCCAGCCAGCACTCGATGATGCATAAGTGGGTTTTGGGTTGCAGTTTGGGCACTCAGTCTCTAAAAGGTTTGCCATCACTGCACTAGAACATAAAATAGAAAACTTAACTGTCAATTTGTAATTTTACAGAATACAGCAATTAGAACATTTTAAGAATCTATGATTAATTTCAAAGTGAGTCAAAAAGAAACTATTTGTTTAAAACTGCCAAATGGTTTTTAAAGTTATTTATGGTATTAAAACCACCAAATATTCAAAATACGCAGACATGTAAAACACATAAAGGCAAATTCACCCACCGAAAGTTTTTCCTTTGCTTGCTTAAATACCCCAGGCGTCTGGTTTATTTCACCACCAGCAGCTATTAAAAAATAAGGGGGGAAAGGTTAACGTTTTAAAATCATAACTCCAAATTAACCTTTAACATTTTCAATTAAATTGCCATGCAGTATTTATAATGAACCAATTACTGGCCCAACTATCGCTAATTAAAAAATAAATTGCAACTGGAAAATTAAAGAATAACACTTCTCAATATTCTTTAAAAATCTTACCATCAGAGCATTGTAAAGAAAATTATGAGGTTTGAATGATGTGGGATTACAGCATTATATTCAACAAATAACAATAATCTGAAAACATTCACCATCACTTTTTTAAACATATGAGCACCAGTAATATTTTGGTTATGACTTAAAACCACTTCCTATACGTATGTACTGCATCTTCTAGGAATATTACAAATGAGGGCAAGACTGAATATTAAAATAAAATAAAAATAGGATACTGAAATGATGGGTTTTATTTTCATTTTGTTATCTATATTTAAATGGTTTGCACATAAGCCAATTTTCAAACATAAAGAAAACAGTACTTAAAGAAACAGTGAGTAAATACATAACCCAGCTGGAATATGTATATGTAGGAAAACCCCTGCATGTATGTTCAGTCTTCTCCTCTATGGTTGAAAAGGACAGCATGGGCATGAGTCAACATGCAAGACTTGAGTATAACATCCCTCATTGTTCAGTTTCCAAACTTCCTACTCTGAGCTGGAGGAAAACCCTTCTAGCATTTCTGGTTCCATGTATGTTTTCCATGGTGTCCAGGTGAGTCAAATGTAATGGTCCTGAGATCTTCCATCATCATCAAAGGAAGGTTGGGGAAAGATACAAGAAGATACAGAGAAGCAGCATGCATACATCCTTTCCTCACCCCTTTAACCATTTTATGTGCAGTCTGAATACCTGTGCCCAGTTTAATATATCCTACTGTATTAATCATCACCAGTTCATTGCTTGCAGTTAAATTCAAAGAATACAACTGCAGCAGATAGCATGGTTTACAACATATGTTGTTTAGAGATTTGGATAGAGTTCCTTACACACGGAATTATTTCCAGTGGCCAAGATGGCCAAACATTCCATGGTTTGCAAGGAAGTATCTATTATCAGTTTGACTACATTATCATTAAAATAAACCCTTAAATCATGTTAGAAAATTATTGGTAAATATATTAAAAGAAAAAAAATTAAAATAGTGTAGTTAAATTGTCAATATCTTCATCACAAGCTGCCTGCATTATATTTTCTTAGCTCTACTACTGGTCCCATCTACCCACTTACGCACCCTTCCACGTAATAGATTCTTCTGGTTGAATCATGTATCAGTGATCCACAGCTATTAAACAATGGGAAAATGCCTTACTGATGACTTACCTGAAAGCATAATAATTCTTCCATCTGAACAATAAACCTGGATCATGACTTCGCCCTGTCCCTTGGAGTTCGATTAACAGTTTAATCATGCAAGAAACATGTTTAATTCTGGGACACACACCATGAAATTTAAGATGAGGAAAACCAACCTAATACATGTTTCTCCCAGTTCAAAGCCTAAGCTGCTACTTCTGTTTGTCCTATGATATGGATGTTGTGATGTCATAAAGGAAACACAGTCTTACTTTTTCAACCAACCAAAAACTGCAGTACAAATTTAGATTAGGTTCAGATGATAGTATTCATATTACCATATTACAATGGTTAAAATCAATGTGGTTTCTTCAAAGTGTCCTTTTTTGTGTATATAAAAAAGATAAAAAGAAACAAGTACTGAATGTGTATTTGCATGAAGTAGCCTTATTCAAAATCTATGTTTTACCATTACTCTTCATATACATCCCCATCTAGTTTACTCTGGTAGAAAAAAGATCCATTGATTTAATGGGAAAGATTTCCAGCTTATAATGCTTGAAATAGCAGCTACAGAAATAAAACCTCCTTAGGGAGCTTTTGAATACGTAATTAATAAAACTGGCAAATATGGGACATATTTTATATAAAACTGAAAATATTTTGAAGGGTTTCGGATTTGCAAATCAGTTCATTCTTCAAAGTAAATTTGAAGATACACAATTTGAAACTTGGGTATTTGAAAATAAATACCATATCAAGTCTTGCTTTAGTAGTACACTGTAGTTTGACCTAATTCACAAAAGTTGATCTTCCATGAAAGAAAGAAAAAAAAGCTCTTGATCAGTAGCAGATTCTTCTAGTCTCCCCTATCCTCCACCCCTGGCCTTCTTATAATTTTTCCACGGTATGGGAAATCCTTTCTGAGCATAAGCTGGAGGAAGAGATCTCCTGTTGTGTTGGAACTATGGCTAACTCAACTTTAATCAGAACATGCCGGGATCTGAACCATTTTCCTGAGTTCAGATTCAGTATTACAAGAAACAAGAAGTTTTAAAAATGAAATGCAAAGTTTTAATTTTCTTATCTCCCACATAAATAGGAGGGAGCGTGCAAATGTGATATTTCTTTGGTTTGTGCATATAACAGAAAACAAGAGAATAAAGAAAGATATACAAGATATACAAGGGAAATTTAAAAGTAAATTTGTTCCATCCATCTAGCATTTTGAAAAAGTGCACAGATACTGAGATAATCAACAGGGATATAACTGTAAATGGATTTGCTATCTGGCCAATATTCTTGAAACTGTGTAATTAAAAATTTGCCAGCTTCTCCCAGGAAGTAAACAACAACAACAACAACAACAACAAAACCCTTAATTTTTGGAAATCTTTATAGTAGGGACATGTATGCAGAGAGATAATTAGGATACCTCAATTTTGTTTCAATGTAAATTCTGAGTTTAATTTGGGATACTAATGTAGAGGATATTATTTAGCTTTTGTCAAAAACAGTGCCTCAAAGTTACTGTAAGTAGCTAATGAGAACCACAAACAATTCTCTACAATAGGGACATAAAAAATTAAGAAAGGAATGTTCTCCTGCAGCTGCTAAGTAGACAATTAGAGTCACGAAAATTATAGAGAATGAGTTTGTGTGATATTCAACCATATCCATCATTTGCTTATTGTATCCTTATTTATTGAGTTTTGTTTGGAATAAAAAATATCACTTAATTAAAATTAAGTAAATGTAATTAATTACTCTATTTCTGGTTTTCCATTCTGAGAAGTAAGTTCTTCATTCTGATCAATAAGTGATACAACAGAAGGATTTTTAGAACTACGGTAAGTCTTCTATTAGTCTCTTGCAATTCTTTGGGAACTGGGAACTGAGGATTTCCTAATGCAAAAATCAAGATTGGCTTGAATCATATAGAAACAAGAATGGTCATGCAACAACGGTACACTCTTAGCTTTTCACTTTAATGAGTAGGCAAAAGTCTATCTCTAATTATACTAAACTGTTCTGATTCAAAAACAATTGTATAATATCTGATCTTTATGTAATGTGTAAGTAATCCTTGACTTACAACCAGTAATTTAATGACCATTCAAAGTTACAGCAGGGGAAAGCGTACTTTATAGCCTATAAAGCCATGTGAAATAAAAGTTCCCCACAATCATGTGATTACCATGTGCAAACTTCTCTGCCATTTTCCCCAGAAAGTCAGTTGGGAAGCAGGCAGGGAAGGTTGCAAGCAGAGGGGTCAGAAAAAAGCTGAAATTCTCCTGTGGGCTGCAGGAAAGGTGCTGAAATTCTGAAGATCATTACATCCTGAAGATTTCATCTGTGTTCCTGCAGCCTCACAAAGGATTTCTCCTCTGTGCACAGCGCGGAGCTAAAGTCCTTTGGTGAGCTGCAATAACTTTTGGGAGCAAAAGGGCTGCCTGCCAAGAGGACTTCTACTTCACACTGACCAGGGAAATTGCTTAATGGTTGTAACTGGGAGTGCCAGGATTGCAATCTTTGAACAAAGCAGTCACATGGGCTTGTGGCTTAATGACCACTTTGCTCAATGACCAAGATTCCAATCTCAAATGTGGATGAAATTGGAAGTGGGTGTAGATGAAATTGGAAGTGCTGTTGCAGAATTACTTCTGCCACAAAAGTGTGAAGGACAGGCATTTCTGTTGTCATTGCTATGCTACATTTTGCCCGATGCTGTCCTCATAGGAAATTTAACTGGTATTTATTCCTACTTTTGGATATGGAAACCTATGGACCAATGTAGAAAAAAAAGGCACATTCATTGCCCACTACCACCCTCTTTAAAGACAACAAGACAATACAAAAGACTTTTAAAGAAAATGGCGTCTGCCTTCATTTTTACATAGGGGGCCAGGATGCTCTTCATAGAGCAGTGTTCCCAACCTTTCTGGGTTGGCGGCTCAATGCGGGAGGGGGGAAGAGGGGATGGTTTTGTGCAAGCAGCAGGCAGCTTCATTTGTGTGAGGTGGGGCTGTGAGTGCTGGTGCCTGCTGCTCGCGCAACACACACATGTGTTGGCCCGCCACTCACAAGGCCCAATTGGGAATAGGCCATGGCCCAGTAATGGGCCGGAGCCCAGAGATTGGGGACTCCTATCATAGATAACTTCTCAGAACTTTGAAGAAAGAAGGCTGATGCGATTTTTAAGAAAGTTTAGGTTTGCTTGTTTATGGATTGGCACTCCAGTTTTATAACCTTATATTCACAGAAAAACTAGAGAAGAAATATTTTGGAATTCCCAGGAAGAATGTTTTCCTGAAATTAGTAACATTTCCTCACGTGCACTGTAATTCTGTATATAAAATAAAGAGAGTATTTAGTCATCTCCCCTTTGATTGCAATAAAAAGCATATATGACCACATATGTAATTCTATGATGCATATTTCAATCATTATTTGCATGTCACCCGAGTAGAATTATTGACAAGGGTGCAAATTTGTCCTGAAAAGGATTTGTACAAATGTTGCTCCTTGTAAATTATTTATCTTAATCTCTTCAACTGCAGAGCATTGTACAATCCAAAAATCTCCTAAATAACTACGGATATATAATTTGCTGCAAGTACTGCCTCATTTTCTTTTCCTGTATTTTCCACGTTTTTCACTGTAAGCAAAT